CCACAGTTGGGAGCTGAAAGCGCAGACAGTATTGGAGCTGTCCTAAACAGTAAAGATGAACTAAAAGAGATAGAGGAGACAAGAGAAACATGCAGGTAAGATATCACTTAAGTCTCATATATAGTGGGAAGAGCTGTTCCAACAGGCCAGTAATTAGAAGAAACGAGAGGTGCAGCTGAAAGCAGAGAAATGTACAAATACATAGCATGAAGAACACAGAAAGGCTTAAAGTGCCAAGCTTGCAATTAAGAGTAGCTGCCGGTTCAAGCCTTTTTGAGGTCTTTGTGCCTATTTGATCCCAGTATTTGTGCACATATTATATTGTTTTGTTTTTCTACATTTAACAGCTCCCGTCCTTTGTCCTGTAACATATCTTTGTAAACATTTTGTCCACCTTTTTTTGCCAGATTTGTCTCATTGTTGTTAGTGCCGAAATGTTGATTTGATCTTTTAGTGAGAGGGTAAATCTGGGAATGTATTTCAGATGTTTCTGTTCCGCAGGTCTTCGTTCGATAGTTCAGCTGCACCTTCCAAAAGGAAGGCACAGACAGAGGGAGAGGACACAGAGGAAGATGTGGAAGAACAAAAGGTGAGTGTAAGATAAGATAAGATGTTCCTTTATTGATCCCCTGTAGGAGAAATTCAAGTTAGACACAGCAGCATAGGGAAATGTAGTGCAAAGAGTACAGAAGTGTACAAGTACAATATAATCACGAAAAAAAGGATATTACAAAATATAATAGGAAATATAAGACTATAAATGATAAGTATATACACTATATGCAAAAGCAGTTTCAACCAGTTTGCTCAGCTTTTTGGTAGCCCCCCCCCTAGTCCTGATGCCTCCTCCCCAGCACACAACAGAAGACACAAAGAAGATGACACTGGCCTCTACAGACTGGTAGAACATCTGTAGTAGCCGAGTGCACACATTGAGCCACCTCAGAAAGAACAGCCTGCTCTGGAGTTGGAACAGAAATCAGAGGTGTATAGGGACAACAACAACAGAGACAACCGAAGCATAAATAAACAAAGATCATGTAATGGATGGAATGAAAGAGCAGAGAGAGCCAACAATGGACTGAACGGGGAAGTATTTTAAAAGAAAACACAAAATAAATAAACGGTGTCTTCTCAGGCATGCTGTTCCTCATTGTAGCGGTATCAAAGGTGTGGTCCCTTCTGTTCTTCTGTCTGGAGAGCCTGTCAGGCTGTTACTTGGCTCTTTTGAAAGTAGTCATTATAGTATTGCTATGTATTTATTATTATTAGTGAACATTGATGTACTGTAATGTCCTTTCTGCAAATCAGTGTGCGGTCAACGCTCCACTTGGCCATTTTTGTAACCATATAAAAGTCAAATAGCAAAAGAACAAGTTTGACTGACTAACTAAGTAGATCATTTTTAAGTCCCAGCTCACAGACAAAAGACCCAAATGCCTCAAGCACCTTTAAATACTTCTAAGTCGAACTACATTGCCAATAGCAAAGGTAAAATTACATGGACAGTTAAAGCTATTGAGGATATTAGTAACATCAGTCATTCCATCAAGGTTTTAAAATGTACAATAACTCTACAACATCATGTTCAGGCTAGAGTTCATTTTACTAAGACTGAAAGCAAATCCAAAACCTCCCCCTCCTTTCCCAAAGTCTCACTTGGTACAGTCCATATTGCCAACACCTGGTGAAGTAAAGGGCATTCGTGTGCGTGCGTTCATGAGAGCACCATACTCAACCAGGAAGTGGATCTCGATGAGAACAATGATTAGTAATCAAGGCAGCAATAACACAGTGAAACAAACACTGAATGAAAACATACAAAATAAAGTCAATGTATTAATCAACTATCAAGTGGATCCTAAGTTTAGATGATCAACACATGTCACATAACCAAAACCAAACATTCAGCTAAACTAATAAATAAGAGTTTTATCAACTGACTGGTTAGGGAGTGAGTGCAGGACCCCCTAACAGTTGACTGTCCCTGTTTACTCTTTGTGTTCCTGGTAACTGATTTGAAAATGTAAATGTATATATGTGTGTGTGTGTGTGTCTATTAGGATGAGGTGGAGGTACAGCAGCCGGATGAAAGCAACCCATATGAAGAAGTGTACAAGGACTCCAGTACTTTCCTTAAGGTTGGACAACTTACACTCTTTTTTTTATTTATTGTTTTTTAATGTATTTTATATCTTGTCCCACTCATCATGTCTTTGTAACCCTTTAAGCAGTGTTTTATTTGTAAATATTGCACTGATAAGGTGTGTTTTGATTGCTTCATTCATTTAAATGATAAACGGATGTTTACGGATATAAACGGATATTTATCAGCATATAACAATAGCTGTGTTAATACGGGAAACATTTATATGAGAGTAGCAGGAAGAAGAGCTTGAGAAATAAATAAAAGTCATGGGTATTCAGTTTGAGTTATACAGCCTGACAGATTAGAGGGATAAACAAGTCTTTTAAAGGTGTGATACAAAGCTGGAAGGACAAGTTATTTTTGGCAGGTTGTCTCTATGCCTTTTGTTTAAGCTTGAGCAAATGGAATGTTAGTCATATGATTTGTCTGGTAGCAGCCTGAGATTTTAGACTGTATTGACTTTAACAACCTGTAACCGCAAGTTAGAACCAGTTTAAACTGAGTCATTCAACATGAAAACTATGCATAACCATTGGCATTGGGTAACTAAGAGCAGATGCCACAAAGCCCACACAAACACAACATTCATAATAGACACGATCTGCTTTTGTTTGTTTGTTAGGGATTAGTCTGTTTATTTAGGCAGAGGGATTACCATTATTAAAGTAGGATGACATTGTTGTATTCAAACTCTCAGTTGTCTATTGAGCTTTTTCATTTTTTTAAAATGTTCTAATTGTGTATTAAAGTGCTTGTATAGGCATCCAGCAAACTCATATGTACTGTGTGCTGTCTGTTAAGGCAAATGTATTTTTCTAATTACCCCTTTTCCTGGTCGTTTAATTTATTCATTCATTTTCAGGGTACCCAGAGTTTGAATCCCCACAATGATTACTGTCAGCACTTTGTCGACACAGGCCACAGACCACAAAACTTCATTAGAGATGTTGGTGAGTGTGTGCTTATGTGTGTGTGTGTGTTTGTTTGTTTGTCAGAGCTTTAGAGCCCATGCCCAAAATAGCCATATCATTGCTTTCCAGTTAGCTTGCTCGCCCTCCCTTTATGCCTCTCTCTCTCTCTCCTGTCTTTCTAGCTGGGAAAGCAGCAGTGGGGTTGCTATGGTTTGGTGAGATACAGTAATCCAATGTGTACACACACACAGTAACACACACACACACACAGTAACACACACACACACACACACACACACACCTCACCTCATAAATAATTGACCTGTCACAGTGAGACGACAGGACAGACCAGATACACTCTCCCCTCCCCTATTCTCTGTTCTCCTCTCACATTTCCCCTCCTATCTCGTCCCCTTTATCCTCCGTTTCCTCACTTGCCATTCTTTACTCAGCTTTTTGTTCCACTTTTACCTTTCCTTCTTTCCAGCTCTTTTTTCATCACATTATTCCTTTTAGTACCTGAGCTATACAGGATCCCTGCAGTAGATAGCATTGAATAAAATAGCTTTATTCGTTCTTAATGTTTTAATTTTAATTTCTTTGTATACCCATTTACTTTTTTAAAGTAAAGGTCAGTAAATGTTGCTCATAATCAATTCTGGAAAAGACCAGAGCATAAATAATAGCATGAAACATACTAGGCTAACGCACTAGGCTAAAAGGAAAGTGCCAGGTTATCAATTTGCCAGATTTTGGTGAGTTTAACACTAATATGATTATTGCTAGAATTGTTTTCATTGACCTTGAGGAAGTTATTAGACATCCAATATTTGATGTCCACCACACAGTTCTTTAAAGACACCAGCCTGCCGCTGGTTTCCTGACTTTACAAAGTTATCACTATCATCAGTATAGCAATGTGCGGCCCTAGGATAGAACCATGAGGCACTCCGCAGTTGAGTAATTTTTAAAATGTTTCTCCTATTCATCAAACTAGTATCTAGAGCCAAAGCTTGATGACGCCTGGTGTTGGATGTAATGCCTTTTAAAGTTGTTCTAGCTTTTCTGGGGATATATTTTTGAACAATATGTCTTCTTTCTTTATCAGTTGAATTCTCGAATGTAAGTGCCATAAAAGTGAGGACAATTGTTGGTTCAGCTTTACTAACTATCTTACTATCCTTCAGGCTGAATGTGTGTGGGCAGGAAACTGATCACACCTTAGCAACCCCCTTTTCACTGCACATGCACAGATGCATAGAGACATAAGGAGAGAGAGGTAGAGAGAGTATCAGATGGCATTGTGCCCTGTCGGAGACATCTCATTAAGACGTCGTGTGTGTTTTGTACTGAAGGTTCACTCTGTAGGTTTGTAGAGGCTCAGATTACCACAGATGCTCCTTTTCTCCTCTTATGCTTCAATTCTCCTTGGCAGTTCCCACACAAGATCCACATTGTCACCATTATTGCCCATGAAAAGTCTTAAACCGGGAAAACGATATACAATACATTTGTGAATCATGGTAGCTGAATCTCTATTTTAGCTATTTTGCTAATGTAGTTTGAAAAACAATGGAAACCACTGATGTTTTCCATTAATTTGGCAGCTACCTGCCGCAGTTATCAACAGGCAGGCATTAAAATGTTAGTCAGGCAGTTAACACAACACTTTGTGGGTTTTTATGTGTTTTTGTTCATGAGTGAATAATGAAGCTCACTCCTTCTCTTTTCTTCCTTGTGTCTTTGCAGGGTTTCACCTCAGTGGCACAGTAACTGAACCTGCCACATCATCAGAGCCAGAGGTCACCCACAAGGTGGCCATCAGCTTCGACCGATGTAAGATCACCTCCGTCACCTGTGGCTGTGGGAACAGAGACATTTTCTATTGCGCCCACGTGGTGGCGCTCTCTCTTTACCGGATTCGCAAGCCTGAACAGGTAATAACCACAACATAGAAATATATTTGTGTATGATGTCTTACACATACTGCTGGAATCAGCAGCTTAATCTTTCCAGTAATATCATGTTGCTAATGTGTGTTGAGGATAAACATACGTAAAACTTTGAAGTAATATAAAAAAGGCAAACCCCTTAGAACCCGAGGTCTTGCAATTTAATAATCACATGTAGATTTTCTCTTAAGTAAACAAAGTAACCCAGTTTATTATTGGCTGTACATTCATGGTTATAGAGCAGGTGGATAGTCACCTAAATAATAAACAATAAAAATAAGAATCTTAAAGTATAACACAGAATAAAATAGTAAAACAATGTGGAGCATACAAGAATAAAATCAAAACTGGATAAAAACTAAAAACGTTTTCTCATAGAAGTGATTTAAAATACGCTACAGAGTTGGCTAGTAGTGTTCGGATTAAATATTATATACTATGTTATATTATATACAATATTAGCCCACAGATAACTCCATGGCAACATTACATTTCCTTTTTATATATCAGACTCAGAATGTCCTTCAGCATGGTTTTTATCTCTGGAACCCCCACATTCTCCTGTATTCATTTGTGTGCAGATATTTCTGGTTCATTGAAAACATTTAGACATGCAGGCAAAAAATTATTTTTAAATTGTATATACCTTATTTTTCTTTTTTTCTTTCATAAAGTGTGAGGTACAATGTGTTTACTTGCACTAATGTCTCAAGTGACAAATAATAATAATAATAGTAGTGACTGCAATGACCCTGTAAATGTAAAGCCTGGGAATGAAGGGAATGAAAACCCAGCGAAAACAGCCTACAACAGCCTACATTTGATAAAGATAAAGGTTTTTAAGGCAGTAAGTCCATTATAGAATTCTTGCTAACTTATGACAATAAAAAGTATTAGGTTAACACGCAATACACCAACATCTCTGTGTGTTTGTGTGTTTGTGTGTGTGTGTGTGTGTGTGTGTTATACAGGTAAAGCTGCGGTTG